GAAAGGGTGCTGTGAATGTGTGCTTCAACACTAAACCAAATCAGCAATATATGGATGGCCTTTTTAGCATGGTGTTGTAATCGTATTTATTATTTCAATTCATTCCCAACTGTTCTATCCATGAGCTGCTTCATGTTAAGTAACAAGAGTAATACTTTAAAATTGTTAAATCCAAGTTTAACTAATCTAAAAACGATCAGTGCAGTTTAAATTATTTAGAAAAAAGAGGTCCTAACTCCTTTTATAAATGTGGAGAGAAAGGGAGTGAACAGCAACCTTTAAAAGATTTCCAAAAACCAATGACAGTAATTTTTGAACATTAAACAGAGGTTGATTTTAAAGAAAAACTATTGTGTAACTGTTTTCCAAAAAGCCAAACATCATCAAAGCATCAAATTTGGCATCAAATCATATAGATTTTCAACTCTATGGTAACTTTATATGCAATATTATTGTACTGAAGTTCTGTAAACCTGCTATCATTCCTCTCTATTCAAACATGAATGGAAAGAAAAGTGGATTTATGGTGTCCAATAGCTCCAAGCGCTTTCCAAAGCTGATATATAATTGAAGTATCCATTAAGTGAGACTAACTTAGATGTGTTTTAGCATTTTTATAGTTTGAAACAGTCCTATCAGAGAAGTCTAATCCATACATTATAAATAACCTTGTTACAGTATCAAATGATTTATCACTGTAATTAATTTAGCAATTTATTTACTTGCAATTCAGATTTTTTTCTATTATTAATGAAAATTGGACGTGTGGACAAAAAGAGCTTCTGGCAACAGATGGGCTGCATCTCATAAAAGTCTGGGAAGAATGGCTTTACAAGACATTTTGATAAAGTCGTCTGCAGGTCTTTAATTAAACCCAGAGGGAGAGGATGGCCATTATTTAGAACCAAATCCAAAACCTGATCTGGATATTTTATGGCCTGTTGACCACATCCGACCCTTCAACTCTCCCTGTTTGGTCTACAAGGTTGGTAGCATCAGAGCAGCGCAGGACAGCAGAGGTGAGGCAGCAGGGCAGGGGGTGGCGAAGGATGGCAGTGGTCTTCCACAATAGTCCCAGATTCTCATGTGGCCTCTCGGGAAAATTAATTGCCCACCCCTGTCCAAAACAAGACGAAAAGCAGTAAACTTTACAATAAGGGAAAGATAAGAGGAAAGAAAGGGGTACTCAAGAATACACCAGGAGATGCTGAAGAGGAATTTAAGAGGGACAACATTAAAAGACTCAAGTGCTTATACAATGCACAGAATATGGGCAAAACATAGGAAGAACTTAATCCTAGTACAGATAGGATGGCATGTGTGATATTGTAGGTAAAATTGCAACTTGGTGGGACAGGATCTATGTTACATTGGGGAAGGTATACAGTGAAGTACCTCAGCTTCAATCCTGGGTCCAATAATTTTCAACATCTTCACAAATGATCTAGATCATGGATGTCAAATTCGATTGCGTCACGTGATGCATCATGACTTTTGTGTCTTTGTGGAGCCAGGGTGGGCATGGTCTGCGCATGAAGCAGTTTGACAGGCCTGATCTAGATCTAGACTATAAGGGATATTGAAAAAAATCTGCTGATGCCGCAGAGCTGGGGAGAAGGATGCTAATACTTCAGAAGATAGGTGAAGATTCAAAAGGATATTGATAGTCTTGAACTTTGGGTCCTACCCAGCAAAATATTGATTGATGAAGGTCTGCATTTAGGCAGGAAAAACCAATGCACACGTACAAGATAGATGCCACCTGCCTTAGCATTAGTACTTGAGATCTGGGTATCTTGATAGACAACAGATTAAGCGTCAGTTAGCAAAGTACCACAGGTGCCAGAAAATCCAGTGCAATTTTTGACTGCATCTATATAATAATAGGGAATGATAGTATCATACTGTGTTGCATTGATCACACTACACCTGGAACACTGCATTCCAGCCTCCACAATACAGAAAAGACACTGAGGAATTGGAAAGAGTGCAGAAAAGAGCAACAAAGATGGTAAGGTGCTTGGAGGCTAAACCCTGTGAAGAATGGTTAAAGGAACTTTGTATCTTCAGCCTAAAGAGGAGAAGACTAAGGATATGATAACTGTTTTTCTACGTATGGAAAGAGGTGGTGGATTTATTCACCAGAGAACATGAAGGCAGGACAAGAACCAATGGGTTCTTTAAAGTAAAAGATCTCAACTGCAAAAATCCAATGATCCAATGAGTTCTTTACCATGAAAGATTCAAACTTGAGGAATTTCCTGAGTGTGAGAACAATTAACTTGTGGAACATCCTACTTCCTGAAGTTATGGGTGCTCCATCACTGGAAGTTTTTTTTTTTTAAATAAAGACTGAACCATCATTTGTTCAAGATGGTATGAGGACTCCAATACAGGGCAAAAGAATGAGCAAGAAAACCCACAAGGTCCCTTCCAACCCTATGATTTTAAGACCCGGATTAAATATTCCTCCTCGGAGAAGAGTTCTAAAGACACAAGACCTGTATTTCACCAATAGTAATTGCAAATGTAATAGAAAAATAATTTAGTGAGACTAGGCAATAGCATGTTTACTTAAAAGGATTTACTTTGAGGTTAATCCTACAAAAACCTATTCACACTTAAATCCCACTGCTTTTAACAGACCTTCCTTACTAACATATATAGGTTTCTGTCTTCGGTCACTTAAACTTGTCAATCAATAGCAGCTCAAGTGAAAAGTTATTTTATAATATTTTTTGCTTATATTACCTGAATTTCTTGTGATGGATGGCATCTTTTATATTCCTTCTTCAAAGTGTTTGAGAATCTGATATTTTTAATATGATGATTATATTTGACTGTCAGTGATGTCAGATATAGGCATTCCAAAATTGTTTCAGTGGAAGAAATTAGCTGCAATACTGTACATTTTTTTCCAGAACTTTTTGTTGTGACTGCAAGATTTCAAAGAGGTCTTCTGTTTCTTAGGAGGCCATTGGCTACCTTCACCACCTATATAATTAAAAAAGAAAGTTTTAATGATCATTACTTTCAGAATGAAACAAGTACTGCAGTACATATTTTGTCTGGAGTAATTCCCACAGAGGAAGTTTTTATAATAATTGTATTCCTTTTAATAGTGGGGTTTGAATCCCATAAACTAAACACATTATTATTATTTCTCCAGAGTTTCTTTGACCTTATGTAAGTCCCCAAATGGCAGTTCATTATCTTGTATTTTTTACCGGAATGAGAGATAATAACATTTCTGTCCACTAATTAGGAAAACCCATCTAGGTATAATATCATACAATTAGTCTAGCACAGGAAATAATGATCCAGGGTGGGAATTTATGTTTTTACCCACATCAAAAGATTTATCCAGCCCATTTAATGTAACGGAGATGAAAAACATGTTCACTATGCAGCCTATCTGAAATGAAAATCAGTTCCTGGATCTTAGCATAAAATGACAAGACTCAACATACATAACTGTCAAGTTACCTGGCTTGCTAAAACTAATCTGTCAAAGACAGCTTGAGAAAGGGTCCACCCCAACATATATTGCTGTTGATCAGTCACTAAGTCAAGTCTGATTCTTTGCAACCCCATACACACCACCCCACCCACCCCACCCCCAGTCCTCCTCTGCCATCCTCTTCTCCCTTTGCCTTAAATCTTTCCCAAGGGTCTTTTCCAAGGAATCTTCTCACCTCATTAGAGGGCCAAAGTATTTGAGCTTCAGCTTCAGTATCTTTCCTTCTAAAGAACATTGAGAAAAAGTATAATTAAGAAGCTTGCCCTAAATCAGATTCAATATTAAGCAGTGTCCACATCAACATTCTCCTACATATTGCGGTACAGACCCTATAATTTCCAGCTAATTGTGTTATTTACCAAAAAAAATGACCTAGTCATGTGATACAAGATATCTTGTCTTCAAAACAGCAATGACTTCAATATTAAGATATTATTTTAAATTTAAATTTAAAAGCTGATGCTAAACTGTCAAGCACACAGCATATCTTGGCATTTTTGC